ACGGAAGGAGGGTAATGATAAGAGATAGGAGAGGGGAAGGAGGAGAGAAGGGGGGCCACGCGAGAGAGCCATGTCGATCCGTTTAAAGGGCTTCGTGGCCAATCCGATCGCAAAGTTAAAAGCCTCCTTACATGCTGTCGTCCGACTTCTACAATTACTTGGTGGATCAGCAGGGCCCTCTCTTGTGTAGTCGAAGGTGGGAAAGGAGGTTACGGGAAGTAGTATGAACCAAGACCAAGATTCAACGGGATCAGGAAGAAAGAAAGAGTGCGAAGGGAGGTAGAAGAGGATAGTTAGTTTGCCGACGATGGCGAGAAGAAAGGGGCTGGGGAGCGAGGAAAGATTTCATGGAGTAGCGTGGCGCAAAGGGATGCATTCACGTAAATCAAAAAATGCAGAGTGCCACTGCAGTTGCGCCTAATTCCTACAATCAAATTGAAATTGAAAAGTTCGAAAGAAAATTCCGTGCGTGAGTGCTAGCACTCAAATTCCTATGTCGAGTCCTATTCTATTATCCATCAACAAAATTTCACAGAAGGGTTTGTTGTAAAGTATCAAAACAGGCACCCGTGATCTCCGCAATTTGAAGAACCTTGAAGAAAAAGAATTCCGAGTGAGATCACTAAGGCACACATAAACAGCAAAGAACAAGGGCAATTCCAAAAGCTGTAAAAATGAAGGGACAGGATTAGCCGACCTATCCCATCCGTCGAAGCCCGTTAGGGACAAACCCTGTGAATAGCAATGGGATAGGAAAAGGTAACGTACACCCCATATTGATTAAGACAACCTGAACCTCAACGTGATTATTTGGCGGGAATGCGATCTGGACCGGTAGAGGAACCGACATTGAATAAGTTCGAGTCCGGCTGTCAAAAAAGCATCCAAAAAAAAGGAAGGGGCTCAGGAACCCGTTCCTGCACTTATGCTCACGCGTCACATGGTGGATATGCTCACCTAGGATTCTATTAAAAGAGGCAGATTACCCAATTAATTGGAGACAGAAGGCAAAACGACATCTCGTAACAACACAACCTTTAAGTAATACTACCTTTCATGGTGCACAGCAAAATATTGAAGGATCCCCGAAGGCGAGAGGCCCTGAAGCCGAAAATCATGCAACTCTGTATAAAATCATCGGCGAACAATCCAAGGTCCTCTTCTGGTTCAGTGGGATTTAAAGGATCACGTCGTTCAACCAATTAGGTTGCTCAAGCTACTGCTGAGATTGTAGCACGTGCTGCTATTCCATTCCGAATTAAGTCAGCTGAAGTGAGAATCAAACGTTCAGGTTAGGTTTCCCCCTAAGTGGTTTACAATTAGGAGGTCTTATTATAACCAAGATTAGCGATGTAACAACAGTGCCACATACCCGATGTCATCCTCCTAAGAAACAGCACGTATAATTACTTTTAAAAAATGGAATATAATAAACAAAGCAATGCATCCTAAAGTGTGAGGAACAAGCCCTCAAGGGGCCTTATCAAACATCACATGTTCTGGGCTAAGGCCCCCAGCAAGTCGAGTGCCCGTCCTAAGTGAAGGCGGGCCTGAATATTCGTCAGAGGCCAAAATTTGACATTTCCATATGTGGATATTCAGGCTCTCGCAGTACGCCAGTTGGTTGGGTAGACGCGTGAGCCTCACTAAGCTGCGTCATACAGTTGGCCCAGGCCTTGACAGTTGTGCCTGGGCACATACACACAAAGCAGGGCCAATACATTGGGAAGCAGGCCATCGACCTTTGGAAAAGCAGTACTGCCGACGCACCTGCCTGGGAGCCCTGCACAGATGCAGCAAACAGCCCAAGTCCGGAGACTCAGGCCGTGCCCAACTGAAAAGGGCCCAGGCCATCAACTGTAGTCTCGGGCCTGAGCGCAAGGTCTGAGGCCCAACCGGAAGCTACTGGAAGCTTCCAGCCAGGCCACACGCAGCATCCAGGAGGCTGCCACTTCCATAAAAGAAGTGAGGCAGCCCAGGCCAGGCATTCTGGCCAGTGCAGGCAATGGGGAAGTGCTGCTGCACTCTCGCTGGATGCTGCGCTGCTGCCAGAGGCACTGACGGGGCGCGTAGTTGTGAGGTGGGGCGCTGCTGGGCAGCGGGGCGCAGGCAGCCGTAGCCGGGCTGCTGGGCGCCAGGGGGTAGGAGGGCGATCAGGTCGTCTTCAGGGAAGGAGGCGAGTGTGGGTAATCAAGGTCTGATTGAGGGTGACGAGATATGTACCTGGTGCATGAAGAGAGGTCGGCTATGGTGTTGACAGTCATGTGCATTGGTCTTCGAGAGTCAAAGTGAGCCTGTTGCGTGAACCAGCTGTAGGTAGGATAGTCGGGTAGAGTAGGCTGGGCGCTGGGCACCAGCAAGAGAGGAGCGACTTTGGATACTGTGTTGGTGTGGCCTACGGGCTTGAACATTGACTCGTTACTTCATTGTATTGCTCTATATGGATGGTTTCTCAGTGCATTTTGTACTCTCTGCTTGGTCATCGACTACCTGGACATCTGTGTGATTTCGCAACTTGGTTTTCTGTATACCGTTCACACTCATATTCCTTGCAAAAGAAACATACTGCAAAGAAATGAGCAATGAGAATGAGAACGAACCAAATTGCAGCATTCCATAGAAATCCACATAAGCACGAACTGAAAGAAGATTGCAACATGAGATAACACCAAATAAGTATGAGCAATGCATGAAAGTCATATAACAATGAAAGCCCTCTTCTGCCTCCAACACCAATGTCAACAACTCCCTCTCCTCTACCGGTGCTTGGCGCCCAGACTATCAACAGTCGGCTCCTATTGGCCTACAGTCCTATGTGCAATGGGTCTTCCATGAAGAACATCAGCCCAATGACGAATGAAGACTCCGCGTGAGATGGCCTGCTCCTTCACCACCAGGTAAACGCCTCATACATTGCCCTTTTCTCCCCGACTTCTTCCACAGCCCCCTTGCCCAAGGACCTCCGCCTTCCTCCTCCAGCTATGGCACCGGCAGCCCAGCTTTGGCTGCTGCGCTCTGCCTGCTGCATACTCGCACCTTCTTCGAGAACCCACCACCGCCTTCTTCTCTCTGGCCCGGCTCTCGTCCAGCAAGAGAGCGCTCCAGCAGTGCTGCCGCTGTGCAGCCAGGCACAAGTGGGAAGTTTATAGCCCTCATGTCCTTTCGTGCCAGCTGTGAGGCTCGCTGCCGGGCTGGACATGCTGCGCCCCATCCAAGTTGCTGCGCTCAGGGCCCTTCCAGAATGTGCCTGGCGCTCAACTGTAAGTGCCCTGGCCCTCATCATCTTCGATGGGCCCCAGCATCTGCAACCAACCGAGCTACCGGTCGATTGGAGATGCTCTGTGCAGCAACCGACCCATGGGCCCCCTTTCAGCTCACATCAGCCTCGCAATTGGCCGCAAAGAATTTCTACAGGTCCGCCTTCACTTAGGGCGGGTGAGGGCCTGTGTCCAGCATGCCGAGGGTCCTGATGCTTCGCACTATTCTACGGTGACTGGTAATAGGTTTTGGTCCAGAGTTCTATGGTAACTGGTAATAGGTTTTGGTCCAGAGTTCTATGGTAACTGGTAATAGGTTTTGGTCCAGAGTTGCACAGGCCGATGGGTGGCAGCCCTTGGTTGGTTGGCGCCTACCCAACAACGGTCGTCGACACCCAGCAAAAAAATATAAAAAATGTTACAATCCTGGTCATTTCCGAAGTGCAAATTCACAAGCAAAGACAATGCCACCCAATTGTGAAAGAAATGAAAGCACTTGCAAAGAGAGAGAACAAAGAAGAGAGAAAGAAGAAGAAGAGGAAAAAGGTGTACACCAGCAAGACCAATGACAAATCCCCCTTCTCTCTCCACCTTCCTCCTCCTTGACTTCGCCAGAAGAGAGACAGCACACGCGTGTGTGTGTGTGTGTGTCTGATTCATTCCAATTTTGCTCATCCTATGAAGTAGCCTCTCTATCTCTCTGCGTGCATGGCTGGAAAACTCTCTCTCGGGAACCGTTGCCCCCGGTCCCAGCCTGTCCCTCTCTCGGGCCCCCTGCCGGGACGGCACGGGCCTGAATCGATTTTCGCTGGGCCCGCTTCCGCCCGTTACGGTGGGACCGTTGTTGTTTTAAAGAGTATAGAAAAGAATACGGAAAGAAGAAGAAGGATTGCAACATGGCAATACCAAATATAACAATTACAATACTAATAATAATCTCCTCTCTCTCTCTCTCTCTCTCTCTCTCTCTCTCTCTCTCTCTCTCTCTCTCTCTCTCTCTCTCTCTCATGATCACTTCCAAGATCAATACTGCGGATCTCAGCCACTGGTAGCAATGCTCCACAAGTCCACATCCAATCCAATCCTTGTCCACTATCATCCGAACCCAAACCCAAACCCGAGCATGGGCCCAAGCCCAACCCCAGTCCCGGTCCCAATACCCATCTCCATCCCAATCCCCATCCCAACCCCAACCCAGTTCCGAATCTCAATCCCATCCAATCCAAATCCCATTCAATCCAATCCAATCCAAACCTTTCCAATTCAATTCCAATCCGATCCCAATCCAAATAAAGTCCACACCAATCCAATCATCCATACATCCATTCATCAGTCGATCGATCGACCGATAAATGTCAGGTTAGATCTCTTCCCTAAGACTGCTCCAATAACACTCTGGCACATGCCTGGCTGATGGACAGCACAGATGTTATAGCCCAAGAATCACCAATGGGGGAGAGACGACAACAACATACACAGCAAAAGATGAATCAAGACCAACTGAAGAAACAGCACGCATGGATCGACTAGGTGTGCAGAGAGACGACATCACACGGTGGAGGAAGGATCCAAACATAGAGGACCTCCCCCACAATCCCACACACATACGAAGGCTGGAGGGAACTGAAAGGGGGGAAGAAGTAGACTCGCAATATGCCTTGGAACTCTCAATAAAACTGGGTGCACCGAATCGCATACAAGGCATGTGAGCAGGTGTTGTAACTTTCATACAGGGTAACTCACCGGTACTCGAGCTCTTCTGCACATCGCTGAAGAACTGACAATGGCTCATTGACTGTTGCAGGAAGCGTAATACGATTCAGGTCCTTCCCGATTGCATTCTTCAAAATGCTCCACAAACTAAAACCACGATTTAGGGGCCTTGGTGCAGGCAACCTGAAACAGGTGGACAAGAGAATAGACAGCTGAGCAGGTGAACGTACACTTCCATCCAATTTCCAGACTACCCATGACCTTCTTTCCCATCCTGCTATACTGCCTTCGCTGTCACCACAAGAATTCCTGCGCAGAAAAAAAACATCATCAGCACTCATGCTCATTTTATGACTCTTTGTGCAGAAACAGAGAGGATACACCAACGCTCATGCCCGTTCTACACGTACTCTACACTTGAGTAGTCGATGTTTGTTCACTACGATTCCCGACTCCTGACTTTCCAGCAACAAGGCAGATGACTTTTCCCCCCACCCCAGCATGGATTACTAATTTTTCATCACCCAGTGTACCAGACTCAGCTGGGATCGAGGGGTACAGTGCTCATGACGTAATCCTAAGGCACCCGACAGCCGTTCCCAAACACTTTTGCAACGTAAATCCTCTCCAACTGCCTTCTACAACCACTAGGAATTCAACTTGCAACCTCCTACCAGCAGGGCGGATCATTAACCAATAGATTTAGTGAGCTAGGATAAAAAGAATTTTTCCGGGAGGCGTGCGAGGAATGAGCCCTTGCAAGGCCCTTCTCGGGCATGCAAATGTCCTGGGCTGCGGCCCCCAGCAAGCCTCCCGACCCACCATAAGTGAAGGCGGGCCTGTACGTCCACAAGAGGCCTATTTTCAACATTTTTCGTATATTGGGTATCAGACAGTTGCAGCACGCCAGTTGGTTACAGAGCAACGTGAGCCTTCTGTGGCTCCTTCCAGAAGCAACAGCTACGCTGTACAGTTGAGCCCAGGGCTCAGGTGGTTGCGCCCTGGGCACACGCACTGGGAGGCCGACACATCTCACAGCGGCCGAGGACCAATGAGAATGCAGCATTGTCATCACACGTCTACCACAAGCCAATGAGAATGCGGCAAACACTTGGAGCCTGGAGGGCTACCTGAACGTGCCTAACTGCACGAGGCCCAGCCCAGTATCTGAAACTGGCAGCACTTTGGGCCAACTTGAAGCTACTGGGTCCCTACACGCCAGGCCCAGGACAGCCAGCGGCAGAGCACATTTTCCAGTGCGAGCCCAGGGGCCGCATTCTGGCCTGAGCAGGCAATTCGGCCATGCTACTGCTTTGCCATGTGGTAGCTGCGCTAGCAGACAGGCTGGATGCACGCGTGGGCGCAAGAGGTGAGCGGGGCACTGCGGTGCCAACAGGCACACGGGGGCCATAGCAGGGCCGCTGGGGCACAGGCTGGTGATGGTGATGATGGTCAGTAGGAGGCACATGCAGAGGGGAGACAGGGTGTGATGAGGGGAGGGGAGAGAATGTACCTGGTGTATGCTGGCGGTCTGCATTGGTGATGACGTCACGTACATTGGTCTTCAACTTCGATGTGATCCAGTTGCATGAACGTGGATAGGCGTAGATAGGCTGAGTAGCGTAGGCTGGGCGCTGGGCGCCAATCAGTAGGAGTGACATGGATACTGTGTTAGTGTGGCCAGAGACTGTCGACATTGACATACGAGTTCACTGTATTGCTCTTGGCAGGAAGGCTGTGGCGACAGCGTAGGATCTGTGGCAACGGTGGATGTATGTGGGATGATGAGAGCATGCTGACATTGCATTTTGGCTGACGTGGCACTCCATTGCATTGTGTCTGGTACCGAGGCTATGACTGGTCATCAAAATGCACGTCGGCTCAATTGGATAGAAATCTAAGGTTGGGGGCAGCTATCTTCAGGTACGTTGTTCCCTTACCTTATCTTCCCATCTCAATCTCTTCTTGCCATGAGGAAGTGAGTTCGACTTGAGAGTCCTCTTCTTGGTCAGGAGTCGTGAGCGCTCTGCCTTGAGAGTCGACATTCTTCCTGGTGGCGCATATGGCAGGAGAGGGCGGTGCCTCTGAAGGGCCCTGGACGAAGCACGGGTCACAGTCAGCATGCCAACCCACGGGAGTAGTGCACGCAGGCCATGCTGCATTTTGTCCTGCAAGCTCTTTGCTGCACTGTAGAGGGGGTTGTGGACTGACCAGTCCTATGTGGGGGGAGACGAGCACCAGACCGTCTATAAAGAACCTCTGGTGGGGAAACCGACACCTGGCTGTGATTGTCGTCCTGTATGCGACATTAAATAATTCCTGAGGACTTCGGGGGCTGTCCTTAAATTGCATGATCAGCCAGGCTGTCGATGTAACGCTCGTTGCACGCAAGGATAAATAAAAGTGCAGGACTGGTCATAAACTGTCTCCTGTGCACAGGGGTGGGCCGACATGCACACCTTAGACACCGCTGCTTGATGATGCAAAACAGGATCGTTGGATACAGGGGGGAGAAGGTCCCAATTGGTGCTCGAAAAACATTCATTATTATTTCCATTTCTGTGTACATCTGAGCAGCTGATTTATTTCTATTTTGATTAGTTAAGACGGACAGACTGCTAACACCTGACAGACAGCTACAGAGTAGAAGAGTAGTTCTGTATATAGCTGCTGTAGGAGAACTGATCGAAGTAGGAATAGATCATTTGCTCAGTCTGTGTAGATGTTGTTGACACCACTTGATCAGTAGCGTGGGTGACTTGCCGAATATGTATTTATTTTATTCATTTTTCAAATCGGCCAGACACAAGCTGTGGTAGGCCCCAGTGAGGGCTCTAGTGCAGACAGTGTTCTGCTTAGCCGATGAGCGGACAAGATAGTGGGGAGGACAGATCTGAAGGAAGAAGGGTGACACGGCAGGAATCTCTTAGGATCCCTATCGTGCGTCAGGCCTTACCACCTGAGAGCGAGAGAGCTACACGACGGGAGGCAACAGCCGAACGTTTGCAAAGGGCTAGGGATGCAGCAGCAGCCGCTTCTAGGGCTATGGCTACCTCTGCTGCCACATGTCAGGGACAGCAGACATTAGGCATGCTGTCCAGTTTGCGGGCTACGTCTAGCGGGATGAGTGCAGGCACTTCTTCCAGTCAGATGGCGGGCTCGCAGTACAGCTAGCCGCCTTTGCGCACTAGGGAGCCAATAGAACTCCAACAGGTGGAGTTGATCCGCTTACGGTTAGAGAAGGAACTTAAAGAAGCTACCGAAAGAGAAACGGACATTAGCAGTGAATCCCCCGCGGTGGCGGCCGCGGCTGCAGACCTTGCGGCCGCCGTAGTGGCCAGTCGGGGAGGGGTGTGGAAGAGGGGGTGGCTGCTTGGGGTTGTGCAACCCCGACCCTACTGCGAGAGTTTGATCCCTCCACATAACCGCATAAGGCCTTACATCAGGCAAGTGCCCGCCCTAAGTGAAGGTGTGCCCCTGAACTTGTCAAGTTTTGCAAATCTTGGTCGGCACCAGACAGTTGCCACGCGCCAGTCAGTTACATCCACCCTGCACATGAGAATGGGAAAGATATGTGAGCCTTCCAGGCCATTCTCAACGTGGCCAAAGCAGCGGATATCGCACGTTCATGCCTGGGTGGTTGGGCATGCCTAACCAATTCGGTCTCAGGCCACTGTCTGAACAGGCCTGGTCGCAGACACTTTGGCCGACACTGAAGCTACTGGAAACTCGGTCTCACATGACGGGGCAAGGCAAAGCGCCCGCCACTTTCCATATAGGAGACGGACGGGTGTCAGGCCAGGCATGAAGGCACTTGCAAGCAGGTGTGGCAGCGCTGCTGAAGCATTAGCTCGCGGGCTGCTGCGCTAGCTCCTGGTAGCAAGTGCACATGCGCGTGCGATCGTGCAAGGGAACAGGGGGCTGCTGAGGGCAGCGCCATAGCCCAGCCCTTCATAGCCGGGCTTCGGGCTTGGATGGTCAGCAGGTGGTGGTGGTCTTCGTGTATGGAAATGAGATGTGAGTAGAGAAGACGAGAGAGAGAGAGAGAGAGAGAGAGAGAGAGAGAGAGAGAGAGAGAGAGAGAGAGAGAGAGAGAGAGAGAGAGAGAGAGAGAGAGAGAGAGAGGATGATGTGAGGGCACATACCTGGTCTTGGCGATAGTGTACAGGGGTCGACATCTTCATGTGCTTCGGTTCTGCTGCTGACATCAACAGTTGCATTGTCAACTGGTAGTAGCTGTGTGATAGTAGTCTAGGCGCCGAGCGCCAAGTAGGAGAGGGGCTTTGGATACTTATGTTGGTGATGGCGAGAGTATGCTCTCATTGACACTCGGATTCAGTGTTTTGGTTCTCCATTGGTGTAATATCGGTGCAATTCTGCTTTTTGAACAGTGTCGGACTTCCTGGCTTTCAATGTGATTTGCAATCTGGAATCTGTCATTTCGCTATTGCTTATTTTCCTTGCAATTTGGTATCGGAGCTCGTTCAAACCGCTCTGCTTGCGGCCTTCACAATAGCTGTTTGGTGCTTTGCTGGATATTGGTGGGGCAGTGATAACGCTTGTGGGTTGGTGTGAGGCGGCCCAAGGTCGCGTGGGTGCGCCAGGAAGGCTAGGTGGCGACATACGGGTGCACACAGGATGACGAGAGCTTGCTGACGTGGCAATTTAAGCCGAGGTGGAACTGCATTGCATTGTGGGTTGTGCCGAGGCGTCGACCGGTCATCATAAATGCACGTCAGGTTACTGGTGAGAAATCTGTGGTTGGGGGCAGGACAATGAGGTACGTTGCTCCTTACCTTATCTACCATCTTTATTACTTCTTACCGAGAGGAAGTGAGTTCCGTCTTGAGAGTCCTCTCATTGTGAGGTGTCGAGAGCGCTCAGCCTTGAGAGTCGACATTCTTCCTGGGAAGCAAGTTGGTGGGAAACGGAAAAAGCCTCTGAAGGGCCCTGGACGAAGCACTCGGGTCACAGTCACCATGCCAACACGCTGGGACTAGTACACGCATGCTTTGCCACAAGTCCTTGGTTCTGCTTGCTGAGCTGATAAAGGTTGTGTTGGGCAGGCCAGTCCTACATGAGACGCATACCGGACCGTCTACAAATATTTCTGGCGGATTCGAATTGATTCCTGGTTGTGATCGTCGTCCTGTCTGCGACGTAAGATAATTCCTGAGGACCTTGGGGGCTGTCCTTCAACTGCCTCTTGATCAGCCAGATCAATTGGATGTAAGGCTCGTTGCATCTGAGGATAAAGAAAATTGCAGGGCTGGCCGGCTTAGGATAGACTTGGGGCACAGGGGTGGGCCGGATTGCACACCTTCAGACATGCTGCTCAACCAGATGCTCAGGACGCCGACACTCAGCCTGTTTATTCCATCATCATCATTTCTTGTTCAATGTCATTGCTGTCATGGTCTTACAATCCAGTCATATAAAGGATGGAACGAATAAAGGTCCAGTGAGGTGTGTTGGCCAATGTAGTCTGTTCACCTCATGATCTTTGAGATCCGACTATTTAAGAACCAATGATAAATGGAGTATGAAGAACGAGCCTCAACAAGGGTATAATACATATATGTGGTACATCGAGTTGTGCGGCACCGTGCACAGCGCACGATGCGTGCGCACTAGGTGTGGTGCACCCCGAAAACAAGGGGTCGGGCAAAAAACACAAAAGTTAGGGAGGGGGTAGTAGGCCCGAGTAAGATGTAGCATGAACCATCCAAAAAAAAAAATAAAAAATTTGAGGCCGCGCAGGGCCTCCCAAAAAAAAAAACGGGAGCTCAAGCCAGTTCGACTTTGAACTACTCGGGGCTGCCCCACACTGGCCGGAGACACCCCGGTAGTCCACCTTTCTGCCCCCGAAGTCGTGTCCTCCTTTGTGGCCGCCGTGCGTTGCCCGTCACCTTGTCATCTTCGTGTCTCCTGTGCAGCAGCAGTCCCAAGAATTGTCAAGAGGGTGAGCACCAGCCCCCATCTCTCTCTCCCCTCCTTCCTTTCTCTCCCTCCCCCCCCCCCCCCCCCCCCCCCCCCCCCCCCTCTCTCTCTCTCTCTCTGTGTGTGTGTGTGTGTGTGTTTCCAAGAAAGTGTAGATGATTTCTCGATTGCCGTGTGTCATTCTCGCGCAGGGGCCTTGTTAATCTTCTCTGTATCATGTCGATCCCACCATCATCTTTCCCCCCTCCGTCCACCTTTCTCTCTCCTTCCGACTTTCTTTGTCCGCTTCCCACCACCCCTCCCTTCATCCTTCTCCCGCTTTCTGCCATCGTCTCTCCGCACTCCCGCCATCGTTCTTTCCTCCCTCCTCCTGCCATTGCGGGAGGAGGGAGGAAGGAACGATGGCGGTGTGCTGAGAGATGATAGAAGAAGGCTGGAGAAAGAGAAGAAGCAATGATGGGGGGGAGGAGGAAGGAACGATGGCGGGAGTGCACATGTGGTTAACGGGGGACCCCCAGTTTCAGCTCCTGAGTAACAGGTCCAAAACTGAAATTAGGGTTTGGGGGTGAAATTTTATGGGTTTTTTTTTTTTTTTTGCCTGTTTTTGTCTTACTTCAAGGTTGTTGTGTACCAAATTTGGTCTCATTTGGAGCACTGGAACTTCCTCTGATAAGACCATTTCCAAAAACGCTGAAAATTCTGAAAATTCGCTGAATCCAAAATGTCATTCAAGTGCACTTTTGCCTTACTGTTTCACCCTGTTTTTTTTTTTTTTTTCGTTTTTTTTTTTTTTCATGGTTTGTTAATATGGTGTGCACTCCATGGAATGATGCAATGAGAGATGATGGCAGAAGGCGGGAGAAAGGCCGAAGGAGGGGTGGTGGGAAGCAGACAAAGAAAGTTGGAAGGAGGGAGAAAGGTGGACGGAGGGAGGAAAGATGATGGTGGGAGGAGGAAGATGATGGCTGGACACAGAGAGAGAGAGAGAGAGAGAGAGATTTCTTTGTCCGCTTCACACCACCCCTCCTTCTGCCTTTCTCCCGCCTTCTGCCGTCATCTCTCAAGCGTGATCATCAATGCTATGTCATCTGCGAATGTCAGGAAAAAAAAAGACAAGGAAATGCAAAAAAAAAAAAAAAAGGTCGCGCACACCTGGCGCATGTGCGGCTGACTTGTGTGCATGCTTTACCACATCTGCGCTCCGCGCATCGTGCTCTGTGCACCCAGGTGCGTGGTGCACGGTGGCGCGCGCATTCGGGATCCACACATCGTGCGCCACACAGCGCACATCTGCTCTTCGCGCATCGTGTGCTGCAGGCCCGTGCGTGGTGCGTGGTGCGTGGTGCGTGGTGCGTGGCGCGTGGCGCGTGGCAGTGCGCACGCACCCGGGATCCTCGTATCATGCGTCGCACAGCATACAGGCTTCGAAGAAATTTCGGACATTTGCACGAAGTAAACATTTGGCTGCCCCCTTCTTCCATAAAAAACGAAAAAAGGTTCCCAAAAAAGACTGCATTATCTTCTTCGGGGCGGGTGTTCCTCAGTGTCAACAAATTGATGTGTGCGCAAGGTGTGCACTTGGACTTATCTTTGATAGCATGTTACGTTAAACACACCGACAAAAACACATGTATTTTCAAAGTTCCGCACAGGTTGTAACTTGAGACAGATGAGAGGTGCTATGTGAAAGCAGTCCACACATAGAAAGAAAGAAAACAACTGAGGCACGAAACAAGGTTGTAACGGGCCTTTCAGAGCTCCAGCAAATGAGTTAGTTCAAGAAGCGAGAATGAGACAGCACCCCTTGCCTTGTCCGCGGCTCAATTAGATCCTCCCTCTCCACCTCTGTCTCTGTTTCCGCCTCACCCATACCCTCGACCTCTTCAGGAGGTTCAGCAACACCTGCCTGTTCTGGTAGCACAACAGGATCGCCAGCTGAAGATGATCGTACCAGGTAGTCATGGTGGTGCAGCACTTCTAAGGCCTCAAAGTATTCCTGCAACATAAAACAGATAGGAGACACACAGACACAAGCATAAAAGACAGTAAACAAAACATCCTTCACCAGGAGAATATAGAAACTGATGTAGTGTACAAAAGCTCAAAGCCTAGAATTGTCACTAGCATATGCAGTAGAGCCTGTCAATTAATTGCTTAAAAGCTGACTCCTCTGAGAGTACAATTCCCACTTCCTACACTGTGTTACGATCCTGGCCAATTTCGAAGTATACATTCATCAGAAAGTATAATGCCATCCAATTGCAAAAAGAAATGAATGAACTTGAGAGGAGAGAGAGGTAAAGAAGAAGAAGAAGTAAGAAAGAAGAAGAAGATGATGTACTCCAGCATAGACCAATGACAAGGCTCTTCTTCTTCGCCAACCAATCTCCTATTCCTTATCTCCTCCCCTCTTATTCAAACAAGAAATAACAATAATAATGTTGAATGGATGAATCAGAATCAATGTCCGAATCCCACTTCTACTGCAGGCACAACATGAGGTCCACCATAGCCACCCATCTCCTTCCTCTCACATGTAGGTCGAGGCTATGGCAGACTGCTGAGGGCTCAACCCTCCTGTCCAAAGGACAACCCAAAGCAGCTATGCCGCTGCCTCCCTGTGCAAAGGACAACGCAAAGCAGCTATGCCGCTGCTCACTAGGCCGCCATGCCTGTCTCTGCCCCGAGCTTCCTTGGTGCAGCACTACCCCAACGGGGGCCTTCCAGATGCAGCACCTAACAAGGTGATGAAGATGGTGTCCCCATAGCCAGGTAAGTACCTCGCCACTCTCGTCCTTGGTCCCCTTCTCCCTCCTCCTCCTACCGGTAGAACTCCACCATAGCCAAGGTGGAAGCTCCCGGCTTCTTCCTCCCAGCAGCGCTGTAGTACCCAGCGCTACTCCAGCCAGCTCTCCAGCAGCGTGTCGCCAAACTTGCACACTCAAGAATGAGGCCGGGCTCTTCCCTCGGCCTCTTGATATAGCGGCCTACTTGCCTCCTGGGCAGTGACTTCCAGGCCGCTCGGCCTCCCAAGCAACCGGTACCTCCTCCCTTTCAGAGGGAAACATCATTGCAGACTCTGATTTTGCACGTACAGGCTCTAGACTCAGACTGGATGGACTGGTACCGACCTAGACCTAGCCTATCGCTACTGGGCCTCTAAAAATGCCAACTTTGTCTTCTTCTGCTCGGCCTCGAGTACCCGGCACATCTACTGCTACTGTGTGCGGTACCCGCCTACCTGTGTTTTTCCGCTGCTCTAAGTGTCGCGGGCCTCTGGCTCCGCCACTTAAGTGTTTTCCCCTGCTGCAACCCTCAATGCCACCGCCACAGGTAAGTACCGTCCCTATGGGCCTGCCAAACAAGCAAGTACCCTTGCGGGTCACACACACACTCATACTGACAAGCACTCAGACAGGCACGCAGGTCAACAAGCACGCACACATACAGACTTAGAAAACTAACTCAGCAGAATGCGGAATCTCAGCAAGGCATCCATTCCATCGGCAGAACTTCAGAAATCAGCAGTCTTCTCAGTCTGTGTTATGGTGGGTCATTACAACTGCGAAGAAGTGGCATGGTACTGGAAAAAGGTCCAGGACTCTGCCACACTTTCTCATCCCCACTTCACCAACCATGCTTTCCATATCTTCCTAGCTATAAATTTTATCCCTCTGATGCTTCTTGGGGTTTTCTGTTTGATACCCTGACTGTTAAACATTCTGCCTGGGGAGTACGGTCGCAGAGGGACACCGACCCAGCCAGGAACTGAAGGGCGGCAGTCACAAATCAATCGCAGAAAACATCTCTTCCTACTCGTGCGAAAGGCAATGCTACGGCCCATACAAAAGGACTGGAGCAGGAGTGAGCTCAAGAATACAACAGAATGGGGGGGATAACATAAACGACAGAAGAACAGATTACTAACGATGGAGCTGTGCTGCAAACGGACAAGGACTACTCATCAATGGATGACAGACCAGAGCAGGAAAGAGGGAGGAACTGTTCTACCAAACCAGAAAAGAAGTGGCATAGGGAACAGCAGATCATAACAACTAAGCGATCAGGGATAAGTTGGCCACAGTTCAGCTGAGACACTGCACACCTGCTTTCCCTCAACAAATACTAATCCCAGATAAAGGACGGCAACCTTATTCACATCAACATAATGCCTAGGCTTTCTATGCGAATGACCTGTTGTGGCTTGAAATGCAAACAAAGCATCTGCAATTGTGATGATTCACCCAGTCGTTCGTCCCCCCGGCCTCTCTCTCTCTCTCTCTCTCTCTCTCTCTCTCTCTCTCTCTCTCTCTCTCTCTCTCTCTC